TGGTAATTGAAACTTTTAGAGCATTGGCTCAAGTTGTGAAGTGAGTTGTGAAGTAAAAGTGAGAAAAAGAAGAAATCATTATGTGGCCTCCCTTGCCGGGATATTGTTGCTTTTAATGTTATCTCCCTTGCCGGGATGTTGATGTTTCTTTTGATGTTGTTCCCTTGCCGGGACTCGATTGTTGAACCATTATTCCCTTGCCGAGATTCTTATTGTAATTTCATTTATTTCCTTACCTTATTGTTTGTGATTGTTGTTTGGGTGAGGAAGAGCGTTAAAGCACGAAGGGTGATGCCGTGTATTGTTTTGGTGAGGGAGTGATAAAGCACGAAGGGTGATGCCGTGTATGATTTTGTAAGGAAGAGTGTAAAGCACGAAAGGTGATGCCGTGCTGCACGATGTACCATTCCGTGCCGATTATACTGATTTTATAGTGAGGACGAGAGTAAAAGCACGAAGGGTGATGTCGTGCAATTTATATTGATTCTTTTGGTGAGGACGAGAGTAAAAGCACGAAGGGTGATACCATGCACTTGTTTGATTCCTGATTTTTTTGCTGATAGTTGAGATATGGTGTTTCTTGTATTTACTCTCTATCTTTCTATTCTTAATTGATGTTTACCCGCAGCTTGTTTCCCCTTCCCATTCTTGACTGTATATTATGGTTCTTCTTTTCCGATGTATATGATTTAACTGCACAGGTTTATTTATTAGTCTGGTCCTAGCCTCGTCACTAATTCGCCGAGGTTAGGCTAGGCACTTACCAGCACATGGGGTCGGTTGTGCTGATACTACACTCTACATTGTGTGCAGATTCCGGAGAAGCAGCTTTTGCACCGTAGCTTGGGTGGCTACCTTCAGTCCACACGGAGATCCAAGGTAGTCCTGCAGGCGTCCGTAGGCCCTGGTGTCTCCCTCTACCCCTTTATCCTGTTTCCTTTACTTATTTCAGAAACAATGTATTTTTTATCTTTCAGACTTTGTATGTAGTATTCTTAGACCGTCTGTGAAACTGTGACACCAGTTCTGGGTAGTCGATGCTCAAGCAGTTGTATTGGATACATATTCAGATAGTTCATTACTTTTTATCCGCTTATTGTAAATTCTGTTGTCTACATGTTATTGCTTCATAGTTGTTAAAGAATATAAAATGGGTAAAAAGGTAATTTGTTCAAACAGTCGGCTTGCCTAGCTCACATTAGTAGGCGCCATCACAACTCCCGAGAATGAAAAATCCGGATCGTGACAGGCAGTCTCTGAAGAGATTGTTCAATAATCAAGAAATTAAATGTAACTTCAAACATCGGTGAGAAAATCGTTAAATTATTGGAATTTTAATTATTGATGCTTTTTTATGGAATTAACTTCAATCATTACTTTTAAAAGTTATCTTTACATCTTGTTTGGATGGTTGTTACCTGTTGTTACTGATATCACTGTCACGATTCGGAATTTCCATCTTCAAGACCATGATGGTGTCTAACATTTCACTTGCTAGGTAAGCCAACGTTAGAGGATCATTAAGCCAATTTTAACCAATTCAAATCAGTAGAACCAATTAAATAGAAAATGAAGTTCAAAATAATGTACGAAATATCATAATAAACCAATATCTAATACAATCCGGATGTGGAGTCACAAGTTCACGAGCTTCTAGAATTTCTACAAACAAAGTCTGAAATAAGTACAATTGTGTCGAATGAAAAGAGCAGTAAATAGGGGAAATGGAAGGGGACTTCAAGATCTGCGGACGCCAACAGATCTACCTCGACTCTCCAAGTCAATTGATCCAAGATAATGCACCTCACGGGCAACTGGGACCAGAACCAAAATCTGCACAAGAAGTGCAGAGTGTAGTATGAGTACAACCGATCCCATGTACTTCGTAAGTATCGAGCCTAACCTCGACGAGGTAGTGACGAGGCTATGACAAGACGTAAATAAACCTGTGCAATTAATAATATATGTACAATATAACAACAATAAAGGTTAAACAAGTACAGTTGGGAAGGGACATGCAAAAGGGGGTACAAGATACGATAAGTACAACAGGAAATGATATCAAGAAACAGTCAATAAGCCATCAACCAGCAAAGCAGATAAACATAATGAACAAAACTGCACGGCATCACCCTTCGTGCTTTTACTCTCAACCTCACTATGAAACAATAATAACGGCACAACATTACCCTTCATGCTTTTACTCTCAAATTCATCATACATCAATAGACACAGGATGACATCACCCTTCGTGCATTAATTCTCAAAATATGACACGACATTATTCTTCGTGCATTAACTCTCACAATATGGCACAAAATCATCTTGCGTGTATTAACTCTCACAATATGGTAAATGAACATATATCAACATGAAGATAGAATGAACAAGAACAAGCCTTATGTCAAAAGTGGTTCCACAGTACCAGTCTCAACTTCAGAAATAATACTCAATTATCAAAGATAGTCCATAAACGCGGAAAAAACGATCAATTTAGTAATTAACTAGTCTAAGCATGGATATCATGATCAAGGAAAGCATTAAATTACAGGAAACAAGTCCCATCCGCATGTTTTAACCCAACAATAATGCATAAGTACCTGTCACCTCACATATACGTTGTACCCAACATCTAAACAAGTAGCAAATAGGCAAATAAGTCCTAATCCCTCAAGTCAAGGTGAACCACGACACTTACTCGCTTCAAAGATCAACTCAAAGCTCAACCACAGCTTTGCCTTTCAAACAAGCCTTTGAACCAACAAAATCTAGCAAATTACCAACCAAACGATTCAACATAAGCCTTAGGAACTACCCACGGTTGCAAAAGATTCAATTTCGGTCATTATTGAAAAGTCAACTCCCGGGCCGTTTGGTTCAAATCTAAATTTCGGACCAAAACCCGATTACTCATTCATCTTTGAGTCCGATTATGTAATTTATTTTGAAATCTGACCTCAATTTGAGGTCTAAATCCCAATTTTATAAAAATTTCTAATTCTACCCAAACCCCCAATTTCTATCATGAAAATACTAGATTTTAGGTTGAAATCTTATGAATGTAATGGAAGATTGAAAGAAAATAGGTTAAAATCACTTACCAATAAATTGGGGGAAGAAGGGCTCTTTGGAAAATCGCCTTTAGGGTTCTCTAGGTTTGAAAATTTGAAGAATGAGAAAAAAATCCCCTCTAACGCATATTTGACAAGTTGTAGAATGTGAAATACTTCACAAATGCGATGTCCCAGCATTTCTGCTATCATCGCAATTGCGATGATTTGTTTGCAATTGCGAACATTGGCCATCCTGCAAATGCGATCATTTGATCGTAATTGCGAATACTATCCCCCCCAGTCCCACTTCGCAATTGTGAAGAATTGGTCGCAAATGCGAACCTGACAAGGATGCTGCCAGATCGCAATTGCAAGGCCAGTGCGAGGTCTGAAGCCTGCACCAGAAACTGAAGAACACCAGCTGTGTTTAAGTCCAAACCACTCCGTAGCCTATTCGAAACTCACCCGAACCCTCGGTGCTCCAAACCAAATATGTACACAAGTCCAAAAACATCATATGAACGTGCTCGCGCGATCAAATCCTCAAAATAATACTTAGAACTACAAATCAGACACCAAATCGAATGAAATTTTTAAGAAAACTAATGAGCTTATATTTTAACAACAGGACGTGCGAATCACGTCAAACCAACTTCGTTTCTCACTAAATTTGACAGACAAGTCATAAATATAGTAATGGACCTATACTGGATTCCGGAATCAGAATACGGATCTGATATCAATAAAGTCAAATATTGGCCAAACTTTTAGATTCATTAACACTTCAAACTTCAATTTTTCAACAATATACGAAAACTCGAGCTAGGGACCTCCGAATTCGATTTCGGGCATACGCCCACGTCCCAAATTACGATACCCACTGGGACCGTCAATATACGGATTCGGATCCGTTTGCTCAAAACGTTGACCGAAATCAATTCAAATGGATTTTTAAGGCAAAATTTCATATTTTGTCAATTTTTCAACATAAACGCTTTTCGAAAAAATACCCGGACTGAGCACGCAAATCGAGGAAGGTTAAATAAGGTATTTGAGGCTTCAAAACACATAATTAGATTTTAAAACTCTAGATGACCTATCAGGTCATTGCAACCACCGTTTTAAATTTTGTGTTTAATCAATTATTCAATCGATCTGTGACAAACTTGTATTTTAAATTTGTTCAAAAACAACACCATTCTCTAATTTAAAATTATTTGAAGTTTAACGTTTTAGTTTTATCCTTAATAACATGACTTATTTTAATCCACTTAATATAAAAATTCACTCTTTTATTAGGAAATAAAAACGGAAAAGATATATTGAGCTCTGACCATCACTCATTTAATTATTTCAAGCAAGGATAATTTCGGTATATTGTATAAATTTCACTTATGCATCAAAAATAAATTCAAAAAAATTATATTCAATCAAATATATTCACATAAAATAAACAAAAGCATATCACCATATAAAATGGAATGCTGAATAAATAGTAAAAGGGACATTTTTATGTAAAAGGTGTCAAAACGACAAAGCTTGACAGAGTGGAGAGGAGGAGGCGGCACATGGCTTACAAAGCATCATAGTAATATGATAGACCCATAATTCAAGAATGGACCGCCGGTACCACATAGTAATTATATAGTACTAATATACTTATACAATATATTTCTTCGGTCACAATTTATGTGGCGGTATTTGACTAGACATGAAATTTAAGAAATAAAATAATTTTTCTAAAATTTGGTCTAAGATAACCATAAATATTTATTTAATTATAAATTATCTCATTAATACATAAATAAGAAATTTAAAATTAAATTATTCTTAAATAAAAAAATATAACATTTTTTCTGGACAAACTAAAAAGCAAATTATAACACCGAGTTCGTGGGAGTACATCACTTATGTACATGTATATAAACCTCTTCGAAATTTCCCAAGTGTTTCTAACTTCAAAGCCTCTGCAATATCAGACTCAATCTTTTTCATCTCTTTTAAATTTATTAGGTGCCAAGATACTTCAAAAGGTCAATCTTGACTTTGAGTATTGAGATTTGTGAGAATGGAAATGTCTAGAGTCGCTGTGTTGGCCATCTTTGTTGTGGCATTGGCCACTGTCATCCCCTTTGCACAATCTCAGGAATTTGCACCTGCTCCTGCACCTGCCAGTGATGGTATTCCATTTTCCCCTTTCTTCATTCTTAATACAAATACTCTCTTTTTTTTTTTTTTAATTATTATAAAGAATCTTCATACTAATACTAATCCTCCTTGCACATCTTTGTGCTACACTTTAGTATTTAGAATCTGTTTTTTTTTGGATTTTCCACTGGTATTTGGTGTCCGTATTGGGATCCCGACTAGTCAAAATTTGCAACCCGTAAGGAACATTAAAGGGGAATTCTCTCCCTATCAAAATTTTTTTATACGAGAGGGTAGAACCGAAAGCTCTAGTTAATGGTGGATGGATTCTATTCATCCCATCATAATTTTTGATGGTATTAGAATCAGTTGATTAAGAATGAGTGTGATATTATTGTATATATAGTACGTATTAAAAAAGTATTTCCTAGTAGTGCTTGAGAGGTCAAATTTGCGTTTTCTCGGTTCTAATTAGGTTGTTGAACCATGAAAATTCTTTGTTTTTTTCCTATCCCAGCTTCTTCTAACATATACTTGTTTTGATAACTCACTTTGATCAATTTTTCCAAATAAAATTTGAAGTAATTGTTTTCCCTGTAAAAATCTGATGTTTAAAGAGTTAGTATATAGAACAATAGTGGGAGGTAGGGGTGTACATGGACCGGATTGGTTCGGTTTTTATCAAAATCAAACCAAACCAATTATATCGGTTTGGATTGGTTCGGTTTTGTCGGGCTTTTCAGATTTTCGGGTTTTTTTGTTACATGAATATTATTTCAATCTTACTTTGTTAAATTTATAGATAAAGTTTTGATAAGTGAATATATGTTTAGTAAATATGGAAAACATTGACAAACATATGATCTACTAAGATATTCTAATGAGTGAATTTTTTTAGTAACACATGATAGTTATTTTCTTAGTCGTCTAACAATAATTTTTCGTTAATTCACGCTTTCAAGGTTAATACATGAGAGGATCCCAAATATTTCTACATTTTCTAAAGAAAAATCACTATAAAGTCTTAAAAATATGAATAAAATTTATATATTTATATGTCGGTTTGGTTCAGATTTTTTTACTCAATACCAAACCTAGTCGGGTTTTTTAATCGGTTTGGTTTGATTTTTCGGTTTGGTACGGTTTTCCGGTTCGGTTTGAACACCCCTAGTGGGAGGACATGCATTGTAAACTATAATACTCTTAATTAACATGTCAATTACTCTGTAAATCTTTCTTCTAATCAAAATACTATATAGTAATTGTTTCACCTATAAAGATTGTAAATGCAATTTGCAGGAACAGCAGTTGATCAAGGGATTGCATATGTGCTGATGCTGGTGGCTTTAGTTCTGACCTATCTTATCCACCCTATGGATGCTTCTGCCTACACCTTCTTCTAAATTCCTCTCAGAATATTATATAGAATTAGGTCTAAGTTTCTTTCTTTTTTGTTAATCTTTTAGTTTGTAATGTGAGAGGAAATTAGACAGTTTAAACAGGCTTTGTGTTCACCCTTCATTTGGATGTTTTAACCAATTCATTCATGTCTTATTGGTACTTAATAAGATAATTCCATATATTGGTGTTGCATCTTTCCTTTAACTTGTAATTTTTTTTTTTATTCTCGTTCTTCCTTTTTATTTTTGGGTTAAAATCTTACGTTTGCCTATTATTTTAGACGTGATTGGATTGAAGTTAAGAAAAATCACTACAAACCAAAAACTAGAATTAGTTACGAACTCCGTCACTAATATATCGCTAAATCGCTTGTAACTAATAGAATTTCTTGATAATTTGTCGCTAATCTGTTACTAAATAGGATTAGTAACGGATTTTTTTATTTAGCTACAGAATTTGTTTGTCAAGAATTCCTGTAATTTTAGCAGTGAATGTAGTATATACATGCCTCTTTTTGGATGTATTGGAAGAAAAAAATATGAAAAGAACAAAGAAGAAACCAGATGAGGTTAAAATTTCCATATGTTTGCCTCCTTTCAGTTGATAATTACTTCTGAAAATCTGGAAAATTAGTGCAAGAAAACAATAGTTTGATTCTACTTTGACTCTTTTCTTTGTCAAAAACAATATATTCTTGTCATTTCTTTTGTTTATTTGTTTAAATGTACAAGAAGGCATATATTTCATTTCTTTCTATCTTTTCATTTCAGCCCCTAAAATGTGATACTTTGTTCTTTAGAGGGTTTGATTCCATCGAAATGTTTGTCCTTAAACCACAAGGAACAGACTAGATTTGTCCCGAAGTAAAAGCAAAATTCAGCATCTTTTCTGATCCTAAATGCAAAGGGTAAAATTAAGAGTGCTCAGTATCTTTTTCACAACACAGATGATTGGGATGGTTCTGCCTTGTTGTACCGAGGGGTGGCTCAATAGTATTGAGGCTAAGCCAAAAAAAAAATTATGTATATTTTTTCTTTGAAATATTTATTTCTATATTTTAAAGAAGCAAAGTTATGAATAATTATTTTATAATTGATTTCTTTTAACAATTCTTTTTTAATTGATAATATAGCTAATTCATTCAATCTCTCTTGAGAAATTGTTTATCTTAAGTAAGATTTTACCAATTTTAATTTTAATTTTTTTTTTTGCTGAGGCAACGACTGTAGGAACTGTTAACATTATTCTATAAGCAACATAGGTATTTGAAAAAGAATCATACTTTTTTATTTGATTGACTTTATTGATTAAAGTATTATCATATACTTGTACTATTTCCGTTAATACTTTTCAAGTAATAAAATTCCAATCTTTATCAAATTGCAAAAAGTCAACCAAAAAGTTAACCGGTGGAACCTAAAAAACCTCAAATCCCGATCACCCATTCGAATATGAGTCCAAATATACAAGTTTCATCCAAATCTGACTTCAAATCGAGGTTCAAATCTCCATTTTTTACTTTAGAAATGTTTTGCCAAAACTTTTCAATTTTTCACCCTTAGATTCACCAATCAAATGCGAAAATCAAAGATAGAATCATGAATAATCATCAAATCCGAGTCAAGAACACTTACCCAATCCAAGTGAGTGAAACCGCCTAAAATATTGCCTCAATCCGAGCTCCCAATCTCAAATGTTGATAAATAAGTCAAACGCTCGATTACATTAGTTCTTGTAACGACCCAACCAGTCGTCTCATAAGTTACCACTCTGTTTTCCCCATTTCTGCTTCTTATTACTTTGTTTATCGGTTCTATATGTGATCGAGTTGGTCGGCTCGGATTCGGAAAGGATTTGGAAGGGTTTGAGACACTTAGTTTCTTTTGAGGAAGCGTAAGTTGGAAAAGTCAATCGGATATTAACTTATGTGATATAGGGCTCGGATGTGAGTTCTGATGATTCGGTTAGCTTCGGGAGGTGATTTGGGACTTAGGAGCGTGATCGGAATAAGTTTTGGAGGTTCGGAGTAGATTTAAGCTTGAATTGGCGAAGTTGATATTTTGGCGATTTCCGGTTGGTAGGCGAGATCTTGATATAGGGGTCGGAATAGAATTCCGAGAGTTGCAGTAGTTCCGTTATATCATTTGGGATGTGTGTGCAAAATTTCAGGTCATTCGGACGTGGTTTGGTTGGGTTTATGATCAAAAGCGGAATTTGGAAGATTTTTGGAAACTTAGGCTTGAATCCGATGTGTTTCGGTTGATTTGATATTGTTTGAGGTATTTTGAAGATTGGTACAAGTCTGAATAAGGTTATGGGATATGTTTATGCTTTTGGTTGAGGTCCCGAAGGCCTCGGGGTGATTTCGGATGGTTGACGGAGGAGTTTGAGATTTTGTGAGGTTGCAGATTTTTCTGCTTCTAGTATTTCCGTACCTACGGATTGGGGACGCCGCATATGCGGGAAAATGATCGCAAAAGCAGAAGCTGGGAAGTAGGCAGGAAACAGCAGAAGCGGTTAGGAGGACCGCACCTGCGATGTCGCAGATGCGGATATGGGATCGCAGATGCGGAATAGAGGAAAATAAGTCAAAACCGCAGAGCGGTTGATTGACCGCAAATGCGGTACCGCAGAAGCGGTAAATTGGCCGTAGATGCGAAAATACCTAGGCCAGAAGGTATAAATTGTGTCCTTCGTGATTTTTTAGCTATTTCATCATTTTTGAGTCGGCTTTGGAGCTTTTTGGACGATTTTGGAGAGGGATTTCAAGGGAACTTCATTGAGGTAAGGATTTTGGACCTAAAACTCGTTTCTATGGTATTATTTCACGGATTAGGCTTGTAATTTATAGAAAGGATCAAAGTTTGGGGAAACTATGGCTTGGAAACTTAAACCTTTGATTGAGGATTTGAACGACCATTTGAGGTCGGATTTCAGAACTTTAGATATGTATGAACTCGTAGGGAGATAAGGAATCTATTGATGTAAAAATTATCGAATTCCGAGACGTGGGCCCAGAGGTCGGGTTTTGGTAAATTCGGGATTTATGTTGTAAATTGATTATTTTCGCTTGGGCTTCGTTCCCTTAGCATATTTTGACGCCGAGATTCTTATTTTGGATAGATTCGACGCGAGTGGAGGCTGATTCGAGGGGCAAAGGCGTCACCGGCTAGAGATTTGACCGGATTGAGGAGAGTAATGATTGGAAATGGTGTTCTAAAGGTATGAAACCCCGGGTTGCATATCATTGTGCTATATTGAGGTGGCGTACACGCTTGATGACGAGCGTGGGGTCGTGCACTGTTGGGGATTGTGACTTAGTCCATCCCGAATGACTATCTTACCGCGTGTTTTACTGAAATCTATTTGCTATCATCATTATTTGGGCTGAATGCCATATTTGGCTTCGTGCCAACTATTTGAATCCTTCAGGGACTTTTATTGATATTTCCTTACTGTTTTGACTATATACCTGAACTCAGTCATGTTATATTTCACTGTTTTCGTACTCAGCCATGTTTACTCTGTTTTAACACTTAAATGATCTTTTAAATGATTTTGGGTTGAGAATCGTATTTTACTATTGCCTGAGTGGCTTGTGAGGATTTTGACTGAGTAAGGCCGAAGGCCTATGTTGTGAGGAAACATTTGATATTGATTATGAGGTCGAGGGCCTGAGATATGTATGCCACGAGGTAGCTTGTTGATATGAGGTCGAGAGCCTAGTGATGATGCTACAAGATGGATTGATATTGCGCTTGGGCCGTAAGGGGGCCCTCCAGGAGTATGCACACCCCCAGTGAGCGTGGGTACCCATTGTAATGTGAGATATAGCCCGAGGGGCTGGTATTGTTCTGAGATATTGCCCGAGGGGCGAATTTGTTGATAATGTGCTCGAGGGGCGAACCTCTATGTGTTTATTTTCATTAATTGCATGTCATTTACCTGGTTAAATTGTTGAAAAAGGTTTTCGTGAAGTTTAATTCGAGTTAAATGACTTTCACTGGTTTTACTGATTCATTATAGTCTACAAATGTGCTTTACGTGATTTCTTGCTTTCAGTCCTTATTTATGATTATTACTCACTAAGTTGGAGTACTCACTTTACTCCCTGCACCATGTGTACAGATTCGGGCACATCTGGTATCGCTCCCGAGTGCTGATCTTTCCAGCTCAGGCGGATCCGAGAAGTCTCTAGGTAACTGTCGGCGTTCGCAGCCCGAAGCTTTTTCCCTATCTTACTCTCCATATTCTTAGTTACTGTATTAAACTCTGTAGATTTCTCTGAGTATTCCAGATTGTTTAGATGTACATGACTAGTGACACCCCGGTATCGGGCTGTGTTGGGTTGTATTCCGCAAAATATGCTATTATATGTTTAAACTTTGAATTATTTTATTATGCTTAGATTGTTTCTTACTGTTTAAATGTTAAATACCAAAGTGAGAAGTGTCGGATGGCCTTGTCTTCACGAGAGGCGCCATCACGACCGGGTCTGGGTTTAGGGTCGTAACAAGTTGGTATCAGAGCCTAGGTTACATAGGTCTCACGAGTCATGAGCACGTTTAGTAGAGTCTTTCGGATAGGTACGGAGACGTCTCTATTTATCCTCGAGAGGCTGTAGAACCTTTAGGAAAAACTTCATATTCTTGAAATTCATGTCGTGCGAATTTGTTAGTCCGAGTACTAAACTTCTGTTATTCTATTCTCTCACAGATGGTGAGGACACACGCTACCGGTCAGGATGGATGACCACCAGCACCACCAGCTGTGGCCACTAGAGGCTGAGGATGCGGTCGTAGTCGCGGTAGGGGCAAGGGTGTGGCCCGCACAATAGTTAGGGCAGCACCTGCAAATCCACCAGCCGCCCCAGTTTAGGATCGGGTCCCAGTTATGGACACTCCAGCAACACCAACTGTGCCCATTGTGATTCCGGGTCTTCAAGAGGCCTTGGCTCAGATTCTATCAGTTTGTACTAGCCTAACTTAGGCGGTCTCAACACTACAACCGCAGTTATTTCTCAGGCCGGGGGAGTTAATCGAGACTCCCGCCGCTCGCACACCTAAGCAGGTCGTGCAGGGACTTCAGACGACGGGGGCACATCCAAACCAGCTGGTTGCAGCTGCTCAGAACTATGTAGTTCCTGCCATGCGAGAGGATGAGCAGTGTAGATTGGAGAGGATTTGTAGGCT